ATTTATAGTGTTTGCTTGGCCTGGCCTGCCTCCATTTGCCTCCTCAGAGGGCTGAAATTTCCCCATGTGTTGTACCCCAGATTTGCTCTCACCCAGTGTGTGCCTGGACCCAGTGGGCCCTGGAAACTTCTGGAAACTTCTGGAAACTTCTGCGAAACTGCACTGAGCCGTTGGATTGTGTGAGATCTGCGGCCGTGGTTGACTCCCGGGAAATCTTCGACTCTTAGAATTTTGGGCCCAGGTAGGACTTGACTGCTGATTTACGTAGAGTCCACTTGTGACTTTGGAACTATGAGCCTCAGGTGCCTCATTTTGACCCTTCACCCAGAAGCTATTCACCAAGGGGCATTCTGATGCCTCTTCAGAGTCAGCGAAGTGACTCTTGGACCCTAGAACTTTGACCTGATGCCTCTTTAGAGTCAGCCTCAGTCAGGGAAGTGACTCTTGGACCCTAGAACTTTGACCTGTTTGAAGGTTACGGACTTACGACCCCTAGTCATGTCTGTACGAATTTCATATCATTTTTCTAGAGACTTATGAGAGTCCCTCGGACCAACCGTTGCGGCGTTGCCCCCTGACAGTACGGACCGTAAGAGTTCCCTCCTCTGGTAGTACATAATTAGTCAGAGTACAAGATCCAATGTCTCGTCTTTCTTGCGTGGACTCACTAAAGTCAGGCCTTCGGCTTCGCCTTCTAACCCATTCTTTGACTCTGTAGGGGTGTTCATTGCAGAGGACTTTGAATGTGGCATGGACTAGACCATATTCTGTAGTATTGAGGCCCTTTTGAGGGCCATTCGGACGGACTCTGGGACCCTACAGTCTTATTTCTCATACTAGACTTTGCATGCATGTTTCTGTGCTGGATTTGAACCCGGCTCATTGCAGAACCTTTTGTTCTCATCTTATCATTTTGCAAAGACTTTTTGTTCTCATTCCCAACTTGCAAGCAAACGTTTGTCCACTAAGCACATACACTTCATGTCGTCAAGTGTGTGCTCACTGACAGCGTGTGCATACAAGTGCGTTCTTTTTCACATAAATTCAACTCATGTGTGCAGTGGGCGCGAATGACTGAAGTATATGCACAAAACCCAAACTTGTGACTACAATCCATCTACAGGTTTGGATTGATCCGGATAAGGGGGGGGGGAGGGGGAGGAGGAGGGAGGGGGGGGGTGGGCAAGAACGTATCTCTTCTTGCTTTTTTACACTCGATTTTCAACTACGAATTTCAGGATGAACGTCAGCCAAACGCTGCTTGTATCGTAATATTGCATAATAGCATATCTTTTTCAAGTTGTTCTTGGATTCTGCGAGGCCCCCAGGTTGTGCAGCAAGCTGTACAGGGCGGACTAGGTCTTGGGTCTCCGGTTCACGGGATAGAGGCTCTGTAGGGCCGTGTAGGCCCAGGTGGAAATTTGTTAAGATTGCTTGGGGGCGGCACATTTCAGATGACTCCAGGGACGTCCGACAGGCAGTACATACCGGGCCAAGGACAGCCCGACCACGGTAAATAAGTTAACGATGGGCAAGTCGAGAGGACCTCCAGACGGCACGTGGCTGACAGACTGCTACAACACTAGGTCAACGAGCATGAGCAGGAGAAGGGTGGATGACCGTGCAGTTGCCTGTGCCATGGCGGTAGGCATTGCAAGGGAAGCTGGCCACCATAGCTGCCTTCCATATGGTAGGGGTGGAAGGGATGGTCCGTGGGATAGTTAGGCAGGCCATGGGAGGAGTTGGTGAACACTGAACACTTAGTACCTGGTTGTCGGCAAAGAATGGGAGATCCCAGAGGTCGGCGAGCAGAGTCCCAGCCGTTGGTAAAGCCAACTCCAAGACTTAGTGGGGTCACATCTCTTCAAGTGGTCATCGGCAGCAGTGGACAGAGCTCCACGGTGTGGTGGATGAGATTCGATAGACTAGGCTTGGTAGTAGTATAGGGCGAGTCTTCGCTGACTACGTAACTACGACTCTGTTGTTGGATTGGTTTGATCAACTTTGATGGTGGCAACAAGAGCGCTTTCATAATTAAAAGGCTTTAGTGTGGTGTGTGTTTCTGTGTTGGTGTGATCTTTGTCCTTATTAATCCTGCTCTTGATGTAGATCAATTCGTATGAGAGAGATTTATAAGTCAACACGTTGAAATGACAAAGTTCAAACATACAAACACACACCAGGAGAAAGAGAGGATCAAGTACTAGGAAGAAGAAGAGAGGAAGGGATATGGCAAAAATGACAAGCTCGTCCCCGGAACGCGACCCATAGGTGGAAAGATATATTATGAAGAATCACCTATTGTCTCCGGCATAATCTACTCATGGGCAAGACTCTACCAATCACCATAGCCAACTACCTATCACCTTCTTCCTCTTCAACAGAATCACCCATCCACCATAGCCGACCACCTCTCACCTTCTTCTTCCTCTACCTTCATCACCCATCCACCATAGCCGACCACCTCTCGCCTTCTTCTTCCTGCGCCTCCGTCCCCTGCAAGGGCACAATTGTCATCACCCTGGAGCAATGGCCTACTGCTATGACGCCATGGCATCTGGCTCCAGAGCAATGCCACCACAGCTACATACCTATGGAGCTGGCGACTGCACCAGCGCCATGGCGTCTGGCTTCGATCTGCCTCCGGACTCCGGAGCAATGACGCCATAGCTACATACCTCTGGAGCTGGCGGTTGAGGGTGAGAATATTTCGATTGGTGTGGACAAAAATTTGGTCGCGACCGACGACCGTCCCCTGGCATCAGCTATAAACAATTTGGATGATGACCTGGTTTCAGCTGATCAAAGGGACTGCTCGTGAATGGTGGGTGAGTTACATGTGATCTTTTGCAATGCTGCGCACAAGGCTGGAAAGTGCTTCCTCTAATTGCTCACATCTAGATAATCTGGCAATCAACGCAAACAGCTTCCCTTCACTGGCCGAGGATGACCTTTTGCACAGAGAAGAGGAGCTAAGCTGCAACCAGCAAGATGATGACAATGATATGCAGACAGGTACAGATGAGGACCGTATGGGACAGCCGGTCCTCATAGCTCGCAGCCAGCAAGATTAACATTTTTTTTTTTTTTTTTTTTTTTCTTCAAGACCCTAGGGTGTTGTAGAAGCCAATGATCCAGCGGCCTAGCTCAGTTGGTAAGGCACGCAAGTGGCATTCAGGAGGTCTTGGGTTCAATCCCCATTGGCCTCATGCACCGTCCTGGGCATGCTTGGCGCCCGCCACCTAGAGATATGCCGTTGGTCCCCCCGAGTAGCATTGAGTAGAGACTGCTGATGTTCATAGGGGGAGGGGACCGGAGGGGAGGCACAGTGACTGGCCCATCAAAGAAGCTCGGTCCTGATGCTACCGGCTGACCCCTGGCCGGTATCGCCCACCTGCTGTAGCAGGTATCGCACCTGCTGGTGGGTGCAGCTCCCTCATGTTCCCTCGTTGGAGGCTTGAGCACGGATGTGGCTGCTACGGGGTTCCCCGTAATACTATAATGACAAAAAAAAAAGGCCTGAAAGGCCGTCCTGTCCAGATTTGACAGGTAATACTTTTTAAAAAAAACAAAAGTAGAAGCCAGTGACACATGGTGATTGCTAGCAGCGGGCAGCCAATGGTTGTCCTGACAGTGTGGGGCCACCTCCCGAGTCCCAACCCATCCTCACGTCAATACTCCTAGCGCACCCCCTATCCCTACTATCCTACCTAAGTGTGGCCAGCAGTAGACTCTCTGACTACTGGGGCCTGTAGAAGATTGAACCATCACCCTACCAGTATCGAGAGCAACTTGGACCGAATAGCAGTGACAAGCACCAGGGCTGGGCAGTACCCAGCCCTAGTGGAAGCGGACGCGGACAAACCTTGCCATATGGGAACTTCGGACGCCAGCTCGTCCAATCTTCTACAGGCCCCAGTAGTCAGAGAGTCTACCAGATAAGCTGGCACAAGCACCTAGGCAAGATTACCATTTTCATTGTGCGACTTTTGATGCAGAAATCTCTGTGATGTCCGAACCTCTGCATGCACTCCCCACTCTGACTGGAGGGGACGGCCTTGACGAGAGCATGGAGGTGAGTACACCTCTCTCCTGTGGTGGTTTGCCAGCGGAGGTGCCCCTGCCGCCCCATCGCCGTACCGTCTCTGTGCGATACAGAAAGGTGGGGCGGCAAGGGTACTCCTTTTTTTTAAAAGAAAAACATCTGTTGTCGGTCAACTACTCAGAGGGTGATAGGAGCACCCCCCTCAGTTGGGGGCCGCCGTTAGATGGCTCCAATCTATTCGTGGGGAGCTGCACGTGCTGGAAATCGGGTCCAGCATCCCTGTGACGAATTATAATATGTTGATAGCCTAAGGATGATTAGTGGAGGGCAGCATTGATTTCCCTGTTAGCACGATGGCATTAACTGCCCTGCTGTACCCAGGTGTGGACATCCAAATGGCGGCAAGGGTGCCTCCACTGGACAAGGTGTGATTCGGACTGATACGGAAGGTAGCGCTCTAGGCTATCTGGAAAGAGAGATGCAGCATCACACTCGATGACACAAGGAACGCAAGAGAAAAGGTCTCGGGGGGGGCGGCGGGGGGAGGGGCACGGCCAAAGACTTCATCGATGTGGAAATTCTCTGCAGAATCTGTGCAGATGGAGAAAGATGAAGGTGTCAATCCAGAAAAGCACCGATTCGGAATCAGAGTCGGCAGTGCATTCACACTGTGGTAGGATAGTACGGACAGGGGGTGCACTGGGAGTGTTAACATTGGGATGGATAGGGTAGGTGGCCTATCCTGTCAGGGCAACCATTGGCTGCCGCTGACAGCAATCACTGCGGGTCTGGTCCTGGGCCTCTTCAACACCCTGGGATTATTAAAAAAAAAACAGAAAAAAAAGGCTGTGATTGGCAGAGGATAGGTATCTGCTCAGGCGGGCGGAAAGGAGAATTGAATGAATAATGCAATAATAAGTAGATATATTCATTTTGGAAAGCAACAGCGCCTTACAACTCGCGAAGGTTGGTGTTGTGCTGCAGCCGTTCGATTGATAGAAGTCCTGGCTTGGCGATGAAGTTTAGCGTAAGGTCCAGCTTTGCCAGGGATTCGCATCCTTCCAGATTTTCAATCTGCCAACATACGAATGGAATTACAACAAAGGACGAGAGAAAGAAAGAAAGAAAGAAAGAAAGAAAGAAAGAAAGCCAAAGTCAAAACTCACTTGTCGGCAATCCTTTGACATCATCTATTGCTGACGTCAGCATAATTTATCAAATGAAGTCCTGAGTCCTGAGTCCTGACCCTGAAAGATTCCTGGGACCCCGCCCAGAGATAGGGGAAAAAAAAAAGGGAAAAAAAGATGTTCCTCGCTGCCCAGGTCTTTTTTTTTTTTTTTTTTTTTTTTAAGACATCCTCGCTGCCCAGGTCTGTCTTTGATACTGCTCAAACTGTTTTTTTTTTTGTTTTGTTTTGTTTTAACAAGCACCCCCGGCAGTGTTAGTCGTGCTGGTAAGAGCAGACACCACTAGCACCTGGGGAGAGGCTCCATCTATTAGTTGGGAGCGTCACCTGCTGGAAAACGGGTCCAGCGTCCCTTATACACGTTGATATTTGGAACATCTGATACATGACTGAGGGAATTCACCTGTCAGCATTGATTACCCTGGGATCCAGGGGATTGACTGACCAGGATATAAGAGAGGATAACAAATCAAGGGGGGGAACCTCTTCACCCTGAGACCGGGGCCGAATCCTCAGCTATGACCTAGTTCCTGCCCCAGAATACTGCTGAGTTGTTGCTGGCTGAGTGGCCTGCTAGCTGGAAATCAAGTCCAGCGTCCCTTCCAATATCTGGGTGTCATTGCCTGCCTCCTGCTTGGACAGAGTATACAACAAATGTGACAGCACCTATGCTGGAAACCGGGTCCAGCGTCCCCTTGCAGAAAGTCCAATGCACTGAAGCTCCCAGAACCATTGATACAGACAAGGGGACAGAAACAGAAATCGCTGGGTGAAAAGTGGGCCCTGAAGAGCATATCGAGGCCCTAAGCCTCGCAACGCTGCCAGGTCTGTCTTTGATACTGCTCAAACTTATCGGACAGAAACAGAAATCGCTGGAAGGAGCTTCAAGGAGGTAATAAGTGCTCATCAGGCCTTTTTCTTCTTCTTCTTCTTCTTCTTCTTCTTCTTCTTCTTCTTCTTTCCCTCTTCTTGTTGAAGGGCGTGATGAGTTGGAGGACTGGAATGTGCTGCTCATCAGGCCTGTTAATTCAAAAAACAACAAAAAACAGTTTGCTTTTGTCCATTGCACAGCCACCCTGCAAAAAACGGTTTGCTTTAAATTTGTGCATTGCACAGCCGCCCTGCAGTATTCGCCCGGAATCTGGTCACCTTCTACAGAGATTAGCGGATGGATGGCAGGAGATAAATCCACGACGATTTTTTATACCACCCTGTTTCAGGCAAACAAGATCATGGTGGCCATAGCCGCCATGTCCGGCCTGAACATTCTCTACTCTACTGTACATGAGTTGGCTATGCCTTCTGTTTTGGGGAAGAGAGTCTTATTGGGGCCCTTCTGATTGATGGTGGCCCCCCTTTTGTGCACATCAAAAGGAATAATCAAGCTCTGGAGAAGGGAAGGGTGACGTTTTGGGTTCCGAAGGTCTTTTTGCAGAGACCCCCCTAAATCTTTTGTGCCTGAGTGATACACAGCGGTTGCTGTCTGTAAACAGATCATGAGTTCGAGTCCTGATGGAATCGGATGAACACAATAGAATTAGGGGATCATAGCCTCTTTTTGCAAACCCACCAGATTCTGGCTGAATGCCAAAACAAAAAT